GGATTGAGGAGTTGGAGTGGCAGTAGTAGTTGTGGTTGGTTGTGGAGTTGATGTTGTGTTAATAGTAATTCTTGGAGAAGCATCAATAGCATTGTTTGAAGAGCATGATCTATTATTCATATAATTAATCAAGTCAGTCTTGGTAAGTCTACCTCCTCTACCAGTTGCTTTAATATCCTTTACATGAATCCAAGTGTTTTCATTCAAAATACGAAGAACAGATGGACACAATGGAGCAGAGTGATTCATTCTATCCTTCCAATTACTACAAGCACTTGATGAAGTAGTAGAAGTACTGGCTGGTGTAGTAGAGGTTGTTGTTGTTGTTGGAGTACTAGCAGGAGTACTACTAACAGGAGTAGATGTTGTAGGAATGTTCTTAATTTCATCCAATTTATCAACAAGATAGCCAATAGTTGCACCCATTTCAATATTCTTTGTTCCACCAGGAATGATAATTTTACCCAAAATACCTTCTTCAGTTGATTCAAAATCCAATACTGATTTATCTGTTCTGATTTCGCACAAGGAATCACCAACAGAGATTTTATCACCTTCCTTCTTCAACCATTGGACAATTTCACCCGAAGTCATTGTTGGTGAAAGAGAAGGTAATGGAATTTTAGTAATAGCATATCCTCTCTTCAATGATGTTGTTGTTGATGATGATGATGATGCAATAGAAGAAGATTTAATGCTACGAATCAATTGACGTCTGGTTGAATTGAACATTTTTTTGCAAGCCTTGTTTTTATTGTTTGAAATTGGCTTTGAAACCTTGAGAAGCCTCGCAGCATGCTGATGAGACTCTTTATGGTTTCCATTCAAGATAAGCCAATAAAATAAAATATTGCATTACAAGGAGTTCCATGCTAAATAATAAGATACTTCAATAGTAACCAATTTGGTCATTTTGACATTTATGAAGATATCACTGTTTAAATGGTGCATAGTAATATATTGCATAGTCAACCTCAAGGTGGTAAAACATTTGAAACTACTTGTTGAATTACATTCCATTTATCATCTGAAATGCA